CCTCACAGGCCAGACAGGGACAGATAATTGGTCGCTTTTAAGCACAAAGGGGCTATACCAAAAAATGCTGTTTTGAGAAAATCGAAGGTAAAGTTTTTGCCACTTGTTCAGCTTCTTTAAAAGACAAGGAGAGTTTTCTCTATAACCAAACAAATATACACACCAATGAAAACAAACTTCTCCTATAGGTAGGGTAATGCCCGCTTTTGGTGTAGGTCAAGATTTCTGGAAACCCCCGATATCTGGGTTAGCCTGTTTGTCCTTAAAAGGTCCATTACATGTACAGGCCGACGGGACAGGTTTTGGACCGTCGACAGACCGTACTGCCAGACGACATCGAGGAAACCTGGTTTAATTTTAGTAGAGGTTTTTACGGCGCTCGCAACTGCATAAGGTCATATGAGCGCCAGAAGATAAGAGGTGTTACAAGAAAGTAACAAACATGAAAAAGAAGAAGGGGAGATAAGGACGATAGCTGTTTGATAGGAAAGAAGAAGCAAACCACACCAGAGCACCCGCCAACCACCCACGAGGAAACTTAGTTCGTTATTACACGCCACTATCGACCTTAAGGCGGCCGCACCTCGCGGGCAACATATTCTACACACTACAGGCCTAGTCTGAGGGAAACGTCACACAGACGTGGGTGCATCATGGCGCGCAAAACATAAAAATTGTGCTGGAATGGAAAATCCTTGAATACAAAACGAAACTAGTCACTCGTGAACCATAACCCTCATTTTGATACGCTGAGTCTGAATCTGGTATTATTATTTTTATTATTATTATTATTATTATTATTATTATTATTATTATTATTATTATTATATATTTTTAAATATTTTTTTCGTTAAAAAAATAAATAAATCTACGACGTGATTTTCTATAATTCTGAAATAAGTTCAGTTGTCTCCGGCGCTGCAAACTTCAAAGGCCTGATGGCCGGACGTCCACTTCCCAGACAGCGGCTGTGGGTTTTTTCATCCGGCCGACAGGCCATTCGCCTACGGTTTGAGCCACATGTCTTCTTGCTCGTTACTATTGGCCGCACGGAACAGAAAACTGTCCGGTCTATTGGCCGCACGGAACAGAAAACTGTCCGGTCTATTGGCCGCACGGAACAGAAAACTGTCCGGTCTATTGGCCGCACGGAACAGAAAACTGTCCGGTCTATTGGCCGCACGGAACAGAAAACTGTCCGGTCTATTGGCCGCACGGAACAGAAAACTGTCCGGTCTATTGGCCGCACGGAACAGAAAACTGTCCGGTCTATTGGCCGCACGGAACAGAAAACTGTCCGGTCTATTGGCCGTACGGAACAGAAAACTGTCCGGTCTATTGGCCGCACGGAACAGAAAACTGTCCGGTCGGCCTTTGCGTGTAGTAAGCGACCATAGTAGTAGACATAGAATCAATATGTCCATGTACCCAGTACCCTGACACACACACACAGACAGGACAGATACAATAGGACTGATACATGTGTGTCCATATCTCCTGACACGTACAGACTGGGACATATAGTAGAACTGATACATGTGCGTCCATATCTCCTGACACGTACAGACTGGGACATATAGTAGAACTGATACAAGTGTGTCCATATCTCCTGACATGTACAGACTGGGTGCGTCCATATCTCCTGACATGTACAGCAAAGACAGATGTAAAATCAGTGATGGTATATCCTGACACACAGAGACTGGGACAGATATAGAGAACCGATACGGTAATAATATGTCCACATACCCTGACAAGTACAGACTGGGACATATGTGAGGCAGCGTGGTGGAATCAGGCTCTCGTCCAATTTTGGGCATGTAGAGTTATTGGTATAATCGTAAAGCTTGTTCACTTGTCTTTATTTGGTTGAAAAAGATATCCATTTATCCTGAGGTGGGGGTCACGTGTCTTTAGAGGTAAAATTAGTGAGAAAATGGCGCCAAAGATGAGTTATTTCCTTAGCTTAAGAGTCCGTAGTAACTGAACATTTACATTTTTTGTACCTTTAATCAACGTTTTTAATAAAAATCCACACAGAAATGAGTTCTTTAATGGGCATGAAAGGTGTTGAGCCAAAAAACAAAAATTTGATAAAAATTCGCAAACCTGCGGAAAAATGCAAGTTTCTTCACTTTGATTATTTTGACAAGAGCCTGATTCCACCACGCTGCCTCACACATATATATATATACAGTAGAATCAATGACGGTATATCCTGACACACACACAGACAAGACAGATATAATAGATATAGTTGGACTGATATATGTATGTCAATATCTCCTGATACACACACTGACAGACAGACAAGTCAGACATAGTAGACCCGACAATAACATGTCCACATACCCTGACAAGTAAAGACTGGGACATATAGTAGAACCAATAAATGTATGTCGACATCTCCTGACACACACGCAGACAGGTACAGAAATATACAGTAGAATCAATATGATAATATTTCCTGACACACGAAGACTGG